TGATTTAATGGATTGGTTTAATAATGATATCAAAGTTGTCGCCATATTTGATTTTTGTAAAACTAGAAACTAATTTAATGAAAACAAAAACAATCACCCATTACACGATCATCATCTAAACATATAATAAAAATTAATTTGGTAAAAAAAATAAATAAATGTGTAAAAGATTTATCAATTTTACATAATTTTATCTTTGGTTGGTAGAAATAATTTTTAAAAATTCAATAATATTTTTTTGACATTTATTTTTGTCAAATTAAATTTTTTTTTTCAAATTAACGACTTTGCCCTTGAAATTGAGTAATGATATCTTCAATTGTCCTTATTTGGAACAAGATTCAAAATTCAAGGTCAAATGCGTTATAATTGAAAAGTCAGGGATTAAGGTGACACAAGCCCCAAACTATAGGGACTGTTAGTGTAATTTGCACTTTTATTAATAAATTATTAAGTCAATTAATAATTTTTAACAATATTAAAAATATATTTTAATTAACAATTTTGGTAATTTTATTGTCTTATAGGAGAGTAGTTAGGAATTTTATTTTTTCTATTAATTCTATTATTTTTTTTTTTTGATAATGAGGTATTTGTAATTTTCAAAATTACAAAGAACAACTATATTTTAAATAAATGTTAGGCAGTGTATTTGTAATTACTTTAGAATATTAAAGTCAACTCTCCTTCTAATATTTTCTTTAATCATCAATCATTCATTTCTCTTACATTATAAATTACTAGATTTAGAAAGTGAGCTTATAAAATAGATTTGTATAACCATTTTTCAAAATGAAAACAAGTATAGTCAGTTACCAAAAGGAGGGAATGGTCGAAGGTGATTGCCAGAGCAAAGACGGAAGGGTGAGGGTGGTAGGAAAGAATGAAACCTGTTTTGAAAATAAGTAAAATCACAATTTTCTTATTTCCAGAAATTCTAAGAATTGTAGCCAGATATTTTTGAAAGTGAAAATAATTAGCAAACGTGTTTTTTTATTCCGATTTCAAAAAAACTAAAGCTAAAGAAAAATAAATAAAATAAAAATCTCACCATTCAAAAATTTGTGAAGTTAGCAAACGTGTTTTTTAAAAGTGAAAACAATTAACAAATGTGTTTTCTATTTCAATTTCAAAAAATCTAAAGCTAAAGAAAATTTTAAAAAATTAAAAAAAAAAACTCACCAAACAAATCCTAAGATTTACAATCCCAGTTAAAAATTTGTAAAGTTACCAACTCTTTAAGATCAAAATTAGAAGGTCAAATAACAGGCTTCTAGACTACTAAAAAAACAAAAATGTAACAGAAAAAAGAAGAAGAATAGAGAAAAATTTGATCCCAATATGAATACAACAAATCAAGTACCAAGAGCACATGAAAATAAATAAATACATAATAAGCATTGTAATTGTGGTGATGATCCATTTTGGTTAGAGCTCTCTCCTCTCTCTATATAGATAATTTCCTTTCCAATAACCACATATTGCATTTCCAAAACTTTTGGGATGTGTGCAATTTTTCAATAATTCCCACCTTCTTAGGCCTCGTTTGTCAACTATACATTTTAGCCAAAAAGTCAAAAAGTTACTATAAGTTGTCACATCACTCTCTATTTTTCTTCATATCTTTTCGTAAAAAGTCAAAACGTTACTGAAATAGCTTGTTCCCAAACGAGGCCAGTCTCTGTTCAACCTTGAAATCAATTCATCAGACATATCATCCAATTCCAGCAATTTAAGGTTGGTTAGATGTTCAATGCCAGAGGATAAGTCCTCTACCAATTCACAATTCTGGATATATAACTCTTCAAGATGAGGCATTGAACCAACCTCCACTCTCACCCATCTCAATTCTTTTAATCTAGTGAGGTATAATCTCACAAGCCTTTGAAATCCACCAACCTTGAAACACAATCCTTTCCCTTCATATGTCTAAAGAAGTTCAACCTCAACCAAATTAGGCAAACCTTCAAGGGATTTCAGTGGATCATCCCTTAACTTACTCCATGCTAAACTTACTCTTACCAGGCTATGTAGTGAAGGTATCCAATGCGGTAACTTATGTAAACTTCCTTCTAGGAAGAGTGTTTGAAGAAGTTGAGGTGGTGAAGAAAGAGAATCTAGATCAATGATCTCGTCTTCCTCTGTTGCACGAACAATCAATGAACAAAGGTTCTCAGCTTCCCAAGGGATGAGCATAATCCCTTCCCATCTTCACTTCTCAGCTTTTGATGTGTAACCTCCTTAGCTGAGTCAACTTCCGTATCTCTGCCAGGAAAATGCCACCATTATTCCCATGGTTTGTTTCAATACAACAAAGTTTCTGTGAGGATGACAAAGTTCCTATTTCCACTGGGGCTTTTATATTGAGGAATGGTGTATCAGGCATCTATATCTCTAGTGTGTAATTGGGATAGTAAAAAAAAATGAATTTATCTCATTTAACCAAGCATATAGTTCTTGATAGAGTTGAATGGTGAAAAAGGATTCATGTAGCTTACCCCAATTGATTGGGACATAAGGCTTAATTTGGTTTGGTTTGGTTTGGTTTGGTTTGTCATCAAAAGACAACTTGGGAAATGTATTGGTACTGGCAGTTCATGAGATTAATCGATAATCTCTTGGACCAAATCTAGACAAGATAGTTTGATCCTAGCTGGCAAGCCGTTGAATTTAGATGTTGTTGGTCTGGATGAAGTGATATACAATAACTAATAGCATCATTAAATTCTGGTGTAATACTTAAAACAAACTAAATGTGTACTTGCCTGTATTTGTTTAAATATTTGATTTGACATTGGACTTCTGTGTAGGGCCTTGATCTTCCTGAAATTCTTGTAGAAGCTGAAAGACGTGGGTCATCTTTTGATGAATTGTTGACAATTCTTGAGCAAGACGATTGGATGTACAGTGATGGAAAGTCTACATCATGTGTCGTTTTCATTCTTGAAAATGTACAAGGAAGCAGGGTTGTTTGATCCAATTGCAAACTCCATTCAAGTTACAGAGTTTACGGTGAGTTTGTTGTGAATATTCTGTTTCATTAATTTAAATAACAAAAGTCTCAAATTTGCATCCAATTAATGTTGCATGATCTAGAAAATGGTTTTGTTTATTCATTGAGATGCTTATATGTAAATCCAGTACTTAGATGGTTTAAACTATGTTATTGTATTTGCATGAGGTTGGAAGATCTGAGGACTGAACCCTCATATTTCACCTAAGTTTGCATTGAATGATTATTGACGAATTTTTTTCTTAATAAAACTGTTATTGTCTATATGCACTGCTTTGTACTTATTTACGTACAAAAAATAAAGAATTTAAGTTTATTTTAGGATAAATTACACAAATGGTCCCTAAATTATACCCTTGATTTCATTTTGGTCCCATATCTTTAATTTGCATCAATTGCATCCCTAAACTTCTCACATTAATCCAATGTAGTCCCTTTCTTAACTGTTGTCTAAAAAACATACTAAAAATTGCTTATGCCAATCTCACATCAAGCATTGAAGGACATAAAGGCCATTTTGACGCATCTATTTATACCATATTCTATCATTCAAAGAGCCAATTGTTACACAAACTTGTGTAATTAAATAAAATAGACAAACAAATTCATATGAAATGCAATTGAATTACAGGAAATGAAATCACGGGATTATAACATACAACTTAACGAGCAAAAATACTGTAAGATTTAATGTATAAAAATATAGAGAGAATTGTATTATTGATAGATTGTATTGAATTGTGTATATTACAATTACAAGGATTCCTATTATATAGGAGTGTGTTTGGGAGTAGGTGGAGAGGTGGAGTAGGTGAAGTGGAGGTGGTAGTGGTGTAGTGGGTTAGGTTTAGTGGAGAGGTGGAGTAGGTGAAGTGGAGGTGGTAGTGGTGTAGTAGGTTAGGTTTAGTGGAGTAGGTGAGGTGGTAGTGGTGGTAGGTGAAGTGAAAATTTTAACAAATACATATAAGGAAAATAAGGATAGAAAAGCAAACCGAAGCCTGTGTGATATCATAGTCTCTTTAAAACACTGTGGATGCTGGAGGTACGTCGACTTCTGTCTCCCAGGTTATGACAGTTTAGACCGGCTAACACAGAAGCACTTTCTGATAGCTTTGGCGAACCGAAAATGGCTACACTCTCTTAACACAGGAAGAAAATTATAGGAAGAAGCAAACTGACTGTATATCTGGAAGGCAAAAATCCTGTACCAAAACAAGGGAGATGGGTCTCCTTTTATACACCATGGGAGAGAGAGGAGAAGCCTCTAACCATGAAAGTTAGCAACTAATGCCCATGAAGGCTGGCACCTAATGGCCATTACTCTTACAAAACTACTGGAGTAATGGACCAAAACTAATGGGAAAAAATATCTGAGATGTATTTTTTGTATACACTAGTGTGTATATCTGCAGTAGACTTGGCCCAAAAAGATTAGGTTGGTGGACCACCAATCCGGACCAGCCCAAACCTAACCGATTCCAGCAAGTCTCAAGTCTCAAGTCCCAAGATCTAAGATCCACAGATCACAGACCACAGACTAAGACCCGGTCCAGGCAGGCAGGCGGCGCGCGTGTGTGGCAATTTTTCCATAACCAACTTGGACCATAGTCGTGATCCAAGCCTATCCTTGAAGCATCCATGACTCCCTTCCTTCAGAAAATTGGGATGCCCCAAAAGGCTCATACCCTTATCAAAATCTTAAGGTTTAAATGCCCATCAAAGCTTTCCTCTACAATCAATGTCGGATTGGTAGTTATACACAATTCCTAATACCTCATTCATGAGGCTATCTTTATGAGACAATTTCTCATTCAATTCTCAATGGTTTTTGGTCATTCTTTTTGTGGTGTAAAGACCTTGTTACAAAGAATCTAAACGCATTTAATCCCACCTCAACCAATGGTTGAAACCTACTTTAATTTCACATTAAAGTTTACCAAAAAACCATTTTTTCCAACACCAAACACGCTATGTATTTGACTTTCAGTAATGAAGTGGAAGTCTTCGACGTGTTTTATTTTGTAAATAATGTTCATTTCATGTGTCTTGCAATTTATTTAGATGGAAAATGAGAAATTGCTTCTAATGCTCTCCAAATGCCTTATGCGAAGCTGACATAAGCATTTTTCATATTTTTTTAGACGATAGTTAGGATAGGGGACTACATTGAATCAATGTATAAAGTTTAGGAATGTAATTGATACAAATTAAAAACTATAGGCCAAAATGAAATTAATGGTATACTTTAGGGATATTTATGTAATTTTCCCTTTATTTTACTATCATGAAACTAAACTTGAACTGTGAGGGTAAATATGGATGTTCAACTGAAATTGATTGTTGTGTGGACGTAAAACCCAAGTCCGGAATTTCACGTATTATTGCTTTATTAATTTATCTTGTCCAAACTGCAGATAAAAGATGCTTATACACTCAAGTTCTTTGAAAACAATTCAAGCCGCCTGCCAAAGTGGTGCAATGATGCGGGCACTATGAAGCTCCCTTTCTGCCAAATTCGAGGGAAGTATATGATGGAATTACCTGGATACAATACAATGGATCCATACCCTCATATGAATGAATGGTGCCCATCTTTTCCCCCAAAATACTCTAGGCCTAAGGGTTGTTAAAGGTCTTCTAATTTGTTTATTCTGTTTCGGAGTTTTTATACCACTGCTTTGTACAATACTAGGTTGTATTTTTTATTTTAATGTATACAACTTTTCTGATGCAAAGACTTGAAAGATTTCAAAAGTTTAGTTGATGTAGGTTTGATGTTGTTTGTAAATTTGCTACCTCAATACAAAGAGAGTAATAGTAATTTCATTGTTACTGCACAGTTCTACTTTGGAATATCCTAACTCACAAATCTAGATGATGGAATAAGGTTTGATTTGGATGGAATTGCTATTCGTTTTCAAAGATCAATAAATTTTGGAAGGCATCCTACAAAAATTGTGAAGTTAGATCTAATCTATGTAAAGTTCAAGTGCCTAATATTGAATTTGAACTTTGAATAATATGGTCATGAAACAAAAATTTTAACTAAATTTCATATTTTATTCTCATTTGTTGAGGTTCGTAAAGTTTGAAAATTGGTGTCCAAATGCTTTTTGCAGCCCTAAAAAATTCAGAAAGTGATAATCCTAAGAAATATTCATTTTGAGATTTGAAAAACTTGTGCCAATTTAAATTAAAATGATTAAAAGTAGTGTTTAGGAACTTGTGGTTACTTTTTTTCTTTTTCTTTTTCTTTTTTATACAAAGAACATAAAATATGTTTATTCTTTATCCTGTTTATTTTTTATTTTTTATTTTTGTAAAAACTAAAACAAATAGCATATTTAGTATACATGTTCTCAAAACATAAAAAAATCAAAGAGTAGTGCTACTCTAGCCAAAAAGTTAGATTCATTTTTCAAATTATGTGGCGCTCTATTAGAATATTGGGTAAATTATAAATACATTTCTTGAGGTTTGATCAAAATACATATTGCCTTATGTGATTCTGAAAATTACATCCTACTTTTTTAGGTTTCTAATTACATAATAAATAATCCCTTTTATTAATAAATTATCAGGTCAATTAACTATTTTTAATCGTGTCAGAAATATATTTTAATTAACAATTTAGATAATTTTATTGTTATATAGAAAAATAATTAAAAAATTTATTTTCTTGTTAGGTTTGTTAAATAAATTTTTTTGACAATGAGATGTTTGTAATTTCTAAAATTACAGGGGGTAATCTATATTTTAAGTAAATCTTAAAAGGTGTATTTGTAATTTACCTTAGAATATTTAAGTCAACTCTCTCTAATATTTTTTCTAATTATCAACCAATCATCTCTTTTACATTACATATCACTGAGTTTAAAAAGTGAGTTTAGAAAATAGACTTGTATATCATTTTCTAAAATGAAAACAAGTATAGTAAGTTACCAAAAAGGGAGAGTGATTGGAGGTGCTCGTTGGAGCAGAGACGGTGGCCAAAGGACGGAAGAGTGAGAGAGGTAGGAAGGAATGAAACTTATTTTAAAAATAAGTAAAAACATATTTTTCTTATTTCCTCAAATTCTGAGAATTGTAGCCAATTTTTTTAAAAGTGAAAACAACCGTGTTTTTTATTTTAATTCTCAAAAAATTTAAAGCTAAAGCAAAATAAAAAATAAATAAAAATCTCACCAAACGAACCCTAAGATTTAGGATTGCAATTAAAATATTTGTGCAGTTACCAACTCTCTAGGATCAAAATTAGGAGGTCAAATAGTAGGCTCCTCATCTACTATAAAAACAAAAATTTAATAGAGAAAAGAAGAAGAGAAAAATAGAGAAAAATGTGATTCCAATATACAACAAATCAAGTCCCAAGAGCACATGAAAATAAATAAATATATAATAAGCATTCTAAATGTGGTAATGATTCAATATGGTTAGAGCTTACTCTTCTGTCGCTATAGATAATTTTCTTTCCACATAGCCATGTTTTGTGTTGACAATCCCTACTTCTGGAATGTGTGCAATTTTCCAATAATTCCCACCTTCCAGGTCTCTGTTCAGGCTCGAAATCAATCCTTCAGAAATATTAATCAAATAAAGAGATTTAAGGTTGGTTGGATATTCAATGCCGGGGGGCAACTCCTCTACCAATTCACATTCCTGTATTAGTAACACTTCAAGATGAGGCATTGAGCCAGCCTCCACCTTCACCTATTTCAATCCTTTTAGTCTAGCAAGTCCTAATCTCACGAGTCGTTGAAATCCACCAGCCTTGAAACACAATTCTTCTCCTTGAAACCGCAGCTTTGCATAATACTAGGTGGTTGTATGATTTATTTTTCTATATACAACTTTTCTGATGCAAAGACTTGAAAGATTCCAAAAGATTAGTTGATGTAGGTTTGATATTGTAAGTAAATTTGCTACCACAATATGCACAGAAAGTAATGGTAATTTCATTGTTACTGCACAGTTTTACTTTCGCAAATCCTAATTCATAAATCTAGATGATTGAATAAGGTTTAATTTCGATGGAATTGCTATTCTTTTTCAAAGATCAATAAATTTTGGAAGGCATCCTACAAAAATTGTCAAGTTAGATCTAATCGATGTAGCTGTTTGATGAGCCATCAGGATTGATTTCTGTGGTTTCGTAAACTGGTTCCATGGTTGATATTGGCATGCTTCTTCTTTCACTAGCCGTTCTATTACATCATGTTGCTCAATCAGTTAGGTAGAAAGAACTCTTGTTGTGTTACGTCTGTGAAGTGGAAAATCAACTAAAGACCTCTAAACATAGGAAGCTTGTCTTTGCACCTACACCCTTAACCAAGTCATGATACCTCCAATTCTAACTACTACATATATTGAGTTTGAACTTTGAATCATATGGTCATGCATCAAAAATATTAACTGATCGCAAATATTATTCTCATTCGTTGAGGTTTATAAAGTATGAAAATAAGTCTCCAAATGCTTTTTGCAGCCCTAAAAAATTCAAGAAGTGATAATCCTAACAAATATTCATTTTAAGATTTGAAAAACTTGTGCCAATTTAAATTAAAATGATTAGAAACCCAACATTTGAAGTAGTGTTTACTAACTTGTGGTTAATTTTTTTTCTTCTTTGTACAAAGAACATAAAATATGTTTATTTTCTATTCTTTTTATTTTTGTAAAAACTACAATAAATAGCGCATTTAGTATACATGTTCTCAAGAACAAAAAAAAATCAACGAGTAGTGCTAGGTTAATCAAAAAGTTAGACTTATTTTTCAAGCTTAATGATGTAGTACTCTATTAAAATATTGATAAATTATAAATGAGTGCGGCTATTCACACCCTATCAATTATTTTGAACTCCTATTTTTTAGCTCTTTTTTTTATTACAATAATAATCTCAAATGAAATTATTAAAAATGACATCAATAATTTTGGGACATCCCATCATGAGTTAGGGCTTATGAGAGCACCTACCTCCATCACCAACCATCCATCTTCCCTAAATCTCACATTCAAAACCTACCCAAAATGCTTTAACGGCAATATTCCGACGGCAACAGTGACAATCACTTGATTACATACACTTTTTCGATAATGACAATGAGTGAAAGGTTTTTCGGCAAGCACAACTCTATGAGATGAGAGGAGTATAACAATAAAAACTCAGAAGAGGTTCATAACTTTGATGGTGTTCTTAGCTTAGAGGATATTGGCCATGTAAGGGTAAATTTTTTGAAAAAAATGGCAAAAATAATAAAAACTGTTCATCATTTTTTCAGAACTGAACTCCCGAATATATGATTGAAATTTTGAAACACAAGCCCAAACATTGTTTATTTGTTCAGAAATAGATAATTAAACATTTCTTATTTATTTGGGAATAGATAATCGAAGTAGCAACAGAAGCAGGCAAACAAAGGAGGCCGAAAAACCCTTGGGTGGTCGGCTGGCCAGTTGATCAGGGAGTAGACTGGTCGGTGAAATCCTACCTAGTTTTACTCACACAGAAAGTATATAAGTATAGTGAGGCCATGGATGAAGGACAAAAAACCAACCAGAGAAGTATGAAAGTAGATTATGTTGTGTGTGTGAAAAGAGATAATAGGAAGAAAAAAAAAATCAAACAGATTGACAAACCTCGTAATGAAGCAGAGAAAAAACTTCTTAATTACCACAAATTTTTTTCACTGGTTTTGGGAGGTTCCATTGTCGTGGGTTTTGTTAGGGTTTTGGGAGAGAGGCTTTTTGAGGTGTAGAGGGTGTGGGGATGTGCATTTGAATGGGTGGAATGTTTTTATAAGGATAATTTTGGTATTATTCGGAGAGAAATTTTTTTTTTAAAGGGTTTTACAATTTATAAGTAGGGGTCCAAAATAATTGATGGAGTGCTAATAGCATCACTCATTATAAATACACCTCTTGAAATTTGTTTAAAATACATATTTGCCCTATGTGATTCTAAAAATTACATTTTGCCCTTACATAACAAATAATTCATTTTATTAATAAATCATCAAGTTAATTAATTATTTTTAATAATGTCAGAAATATATTTTAATTAACAATTCAATTAATTTTATTTTTATATAGGAGAATAATTAAAATTTTCATCTCTTTGTTAATTATGTCAAATAAAGAATTTTGACAATGAGGTATTTGTAATTTTTAAAATTACAGGGGATAATCTATATTTTAAGTAAATCTTAGGAGGTGTATTTGTAATTTATCTTAGAATATTCAAGTTAACTCTATCTAATATTTTATCTAGTTATTAACTAATCATTTCTGTTACATTATATATCACTGGATTTTTCTCTAATCATTAACTAATCATTTTTGTTACATTATATATCACTGCATTTAGAAAGTGAGTTTATAAAATAGATTTGTATATTATTTTTCAAAATGAAAACAAGTATAGTAAGTTACCAAAAGGGGAGAGTGGTCAAAGGTGATTGCCGGAGCGAAGATGGAAGGGTGAGTGTGGTAAGAAAGATTGAAATTTGTTTTGAAGATAAGTAGAATCACAATTTTCTTATTTCCAGAAATTCTAAGAACTATAGCCAGATTTTTTTGAAAGTGAAAACAATTAGCAAACGTGTTTTTTATTCTGATTTCAAAAAATCTAAAGCTAAAGGAAATATATACAATAAAAAGAGTAAATTACACTTTGCACCTCTACACATTGAACCAAATCTCACTTTGGCCCCTACACATAAAATCATGACAATCAACCCCCTACACTTTTGGTCAAATTACACTTTGGTCTCTACACATGAAATTATGACAATCAACCCTCGTACTTTTAGTCAAATCTCACTTTAGTCCCTACACAAGTGTTAATGTCCCATTTCTGTTACTCAATTGTTTAAATGTTTAACAAAATCTAGTTATGTGATAAAAATGTGACTATGACATGAGGGAAAGAAAGAAAAATCATTTATATTTTTCACCAATACACACTTTATCCTAAAATTTATATCAAAATATGACTATATTAGGCTAAAATAAAATGTAGATTGTGAACAATTAAGAAGATGAACTAATATTTTGCATAAATTGAAATCATGAAACTTTGTTTTTTACGATAACACAGTCTTTTTGTCTATTCATATTTCTTTCTCTTTGATTCCTTTGTCGCATTTTTTATTTTATTTCAAAAGCTCTACTTGCTTACCTTTTCGTCCCAATTTTTACCATATGAACATATATATATATATATATATTATATAACTCTCATGTGCTTCTCACGTAGGACAAAGTATATTGGTGAGAAACATGGATGATTTTCCTCTTTTACTCTCATTTTGTAGTTACATTTTTGTCACATGTCTGAATTTTTTTTAAGATTTAAAAATGGAGTAACAGAAGAGGGACATTGACACTTATGTAAGGACCAAAGTGGGATTTGAGTAAAAGTGCAAGGGGTTGACTGTCACAATTTCATGTGTAGGGATCAAAGCTAGATTTGACTAGAAGTGCAGGGGGTTAACTGTCATGATTTCATATGTAGGGGCCAAAGTGAGATTTGGTGCGAAGTGTAGGGGTGCAAAGTGTAATTTATCCAAATAAAAATCTCACCATTCAAAAATTTGTGAAGTTAGCAAACGTGTTTTTAAAAGTAAAAGCAATTAACAAATGTGTTTTTTATTCCAATTTCAAAAAATCTAAAGGTAAAGAAAATTTTTAAAAATTAAAAAAAAAAAAACTTACCAAAGAACCCTAAGATTTACAATCTCAATTAAAAAATTTGTGAAGTTACCAACTCTCTAGGATCAAAATTAGGAGGTCAAATAAGAGTCTCTCGGTCTACAAAAAAACAAAAACCTAATAGAGAAAAGAAAAAACAAAAATTTAATAGAGAAAAGAAGAAAAAAAAAAAAAAAAAAGAGAAAAATTTGATCCCAATATGAATTCAACAAACCAAGAGCACATGAAAATAAATAAATACATAATAAGCATTCTAAATGTGGTGGTGATTCAATATGATTAGAGCTCTCTCCTCCCTCTATAGATAATTTCTTTTCCAATAGCCAAGTTTTGTGTCCCCAATCCAAACTTTTGGAATGTGTGCGATTTTCCAGTTATTCCCACGCTCTAAGTTTTTGTTCAGACTCAAAATCAATTCATCAGACATATTTCCCAATCCAAGAGATTTAAGGTTGGTTAGATGTTCAATACCAAAGGGTAACTCCTCTACCAATTCACATTCATCCATAGTTAACTCTTCAAGACGAGGCATCGAGCCAGCCTCCACTTTCACCCATCTCAATCCTTTTAATCCACCAAGGTATAATTTCTCAAGTCTTTGAAACCCACCAGCCTTGAAACACAATTCTACCCCTTCATATGTCTGAAGAAGTCGAAGTTCAACCAAATTGGGCAAACCTTGAAGGGATTCCAGCGGATCAACATCCCTTAACTTACTCCATCGTAAAATTACTCTTACCAAGCTGTGCAGTGAAGCTATCCAATGTGGTACCTTACGTAAACTTCCTTCTAGGCAGAGCATTCGAAGAAGTTGAGGTGGTGAAGAAAGGGAATCTAGATCAATGATCCCGTCTTCTTCTGTTGCACGAACAATCAATGAGCGAAGGTTACTAAGCTTCTCAAGGGACGTGCATAACACCCTCCCATCTTCATTTCTCAGGTTTTCAATCTGTAATTTCCTCAGTTGAGTCAACTTCCCTACCTCTCCTAGCAAAATGGTCCCATTATCATGGTTTGTTTCAATAGAACAAAGTTTCTGTAAGGATGACAAACGTCCTATTTCCGTCGGGGCTTTGAATCCGCATTGGTTTTTAAAACGAATTGAAGGAACTGGATCTCGTATGTAACGATACAACAAGATATGGCGAAGTCGTTGGAGCTTGAGGATATCATTAGGCAACTCAGTGACATACGTATGTTTAAGGTCCATTGTTTCCAGGTTTTGGAGCTTTCCAATCGACTTGGGTATTATTTTTACCTTGGTTCCCCTCAAACTTAAATACCTGAGTTGAAATAGTTTCAAAACTTCATTTGGGAATGTCTCCAACAAGGCACCTCTCAAGTCTAGCACGGTTAGCAGCCGTAAACCATCATTTGACGATGCTAGAATGGACAACTTGGACAGTGAATCTGTTGCATTGAACATAAGCAAAGAACGAAGTCGAGTGAAACGCTTGCTTTGTTGTGTATATTCCCAATGATTGTTGATTGATAGGCGCCGCACCTTTTCTGGCCACGCTCTGCTTTGTTCACTGGCTAGTGTCATAATGTTTTGTTCTCCCGACTTCGAAACAATAATTTCACGCCAAAGGTCATGGATGCGATACGTTTGGACCCTTCTATCTCGTCTCCTCGTTGCAACTTGAATTAAGCTTCTATTGATTAGCTCATTGAGGTAGCCCTCGGCAACTTCTTCTATCATCATTCCTTCTTTCATTTCTACAAATCCTTCTGCCACCCATAACCGAATCAATCTCCAATGGTCAATCAAACAATCCTCTGGAAAAACACTTACGCTGTGTTTGGTTAAGGGAAATGGAAAGGGAAATGGAAATGAAAGGAAAATGAGAAAGAATTAATAGAATTCCAAATCCCAACTATGTTTGATTGTGTTGGTTATAAAATAGAATTGATGTCCTAAAAGGTCTCCTATTTCTTTATTTATTTCTCACCCCCTTTCTTTTCCCATATATTTTTTATTATAACCAAACATAAATAGGATTACATTTCTCATTCCTTTTCCAAATCCCACCCCAAAAACCCCAACCAAACACAGCATTAGAGAAAGCAAAACTTCAGATAATAAGGTAAATCAATGTAACTGAGGGACAATATTTTGTTCATGCTTAGGAGTCTGTCATTTCCTTCTAGTTCTGCACCAAGGCTGCGGTAGATCTTATCCCACTCATCCACACTGCTCTTATCCTTTGTTGATAAAAGACCACTAATTGCCACAATTGCAAGCGGCAATCCCTCGCATCTATTCAAGATGGCTTTTGAAAGTCCTTCCAAATGTGAAGGGCAAGAATTCTCCATAAATGTTTTCCTGCAAAACAATGTCCAGGACTCTTCCGGAGTCAAGGGCTGAAGATTATAGACATCGCCATGATATTCTGTACTAGCAAAAGAAGCTAAATCCGCATTTCTAGTTGTGAGCACTACTCGACTGCCACAATTGCCACTAGGAAACACATGTCTAAAAGATTGCCACGCATGAATATCCCATACATCATCGAAAACAAGCACATACCTCTTTTGTTGCAGGAAAGCATTAATTATCCCTTTTAAGCTGTTGGTATCCATGTTGTCCATCCCTTGTGGGACTGGTTGCTTGATTTCTTCAAAAAGTTGTTTGATGATACCTTTTAGGAGCACATCAATCTTGAAGGATTCAGAAACAGTGATCCAAACATGGCTCTGGGAATGATTCTTCACAACTGCATCATCAAAGACCTTTTTAACGAGTGTTGTTTTTCCCAATCCGCCCATTCCTGACACGGAAAACACCTTGAGTCTGGGGTCTTCATGCACCAACCACCTAATTAGTTGCGATTTGGGCTTGTCGATGCCCACTAGCTCAGATTCATCGAGTAGCAGGGCATCGCCACGATAATCATGGCATGCTGTGTTAAGACCAGTGGACCTTGAGCTTGAGCCTTGCTCTGACATACCATATCTGTCATGGTACCTCTGATGTCCCTTGGAAATATCGATGACTCTGGACTTCATTCTTTGAACTTCAGAAGCAATTTGGTGACGAGCTTTTAAAGTCTTAAGAAAGCAAGAAACCTTACGAAGAAAACCGCGAAAACCAGCGCCATGACGATGTCCGAGGCGAAGCATGTACAACTCGAGAACATCTCCAATGTCGTACGCAGCTTCTCGGACCTGCTTGACCCATACTTTGAGTTCGGGATTGTTCTCTTCCATAGCATCGGCAACTCTGAGGAAAGCTGTCATGCGATCGAATTCATCTCTGATGTATTGGATCTCTTCTCGAACTCCAGTCAACAAATTGGCCTCTTGTTGGAGGAAGGGTGTGAAGTTGGCTAGTAGATGGAACACTGCACTCTCAGCCATTTTTTTTTTTTAAATTAAATGTGTTTTGTTGCAGAGGAGTAGCCTTTGCTTGGTGGGTTGGGTTTGAAGGGAGGAGGAAGATGAGCAAATAATAATGGTGGTCTGAACTCTGAACTTGGTTTGGGGATTTGTAATGCTGAAATTCAATTGGGGGTTTCAGTGATCCAGATGGGGGCATTTACTCGTTTTGACGTGTGAAATCTCATTTTTCTTCCTTCCTATTAAATTTGTTTTTGCGGTTCACATGGAGCCGTCTTGCTTGACCGAATAAAAAATAGAAAGAGACGAGTGGGGGGTGTTGTAACTGCCCCCACTTGGTACCAATCAAATTCAAGTAATATCACAACTTGATGGGAAATTCAATTGTATGTAATTTTTTATTACGATTTTTATGTTTTTTATTTTGATTTATTATACTGTTAATACATTATAATATTAATTATGTTATATTTAATTATAATTATTTTTTTAATTATATTATCATTTGAACAGAATATTTAGTAATTTATTTAAGGAGTTTTGGATGGATTAAGCAGATGTAATAGTTATTGAATTTTTAATTATATTTGAATAGTGAGTTTGCTCCTAATTGTTTTATTATTAGTTAATGGTGACATGATATTGTACTGAATTTAAACTCCCATCCCACATGTGTGGTACTGGCTAAATATCTCTTGGTTAGAATTATAATTTGAGTATGGAGTTATATTTTGAGTTTTGAATTTTTATATTGTGTTTTGAAAAAAGAAAATTTGTTTAGTTATGAGTTTTGAAAATAGTTTTGGAATAATTTGTAATGTTTTTTAAATTTTTTTGATTAATGTACAAAATATGAAAGGAGAGAGAAGAGACGAGAGAGAAAAAGTGATTGATTGATTGATTAATAATAATAATAAAAAGAGCGAGAAGAGAGGAGTTTTGAATATTTTAAAAATTTGTTTGATTGTGAGGTTTGATCCACATCATGATTTAAAAATAGAGTTTAGTTTTGAAAAGTAAACCAAATACTATCTATTCTTATTTTTTTATTTGACGGAAAATGTCTTTTTTTTAGTTTTTTTTTTTTATATATACATACTTCTTATTGTTCAGTTGAATAAATAAAGAGCAAGTAAAATGTGTTTTCAAGATAACAATTTTTGGTCATAGTCTCCAAAATAATTTGTCACTAAAGATTTGGTAAGTTAATTTTTAGAAAATTCACTTTTAACCTGGCTATTCCACCGCATTGAACTTTTCAAAAGTGAAAGGGTAGATCTTTATTGGTTGCTGCCCAATGCATAGAGTAAATTTTTTTTTTATTTCAAGTGTCAATTAAATATCAAAAATTAAAGTTTTCTTTTTTGTGTGCAAAATTAATTTACATAAAGGATATTAGGTGTAAAATATTTTCTGATTTAGGTGTAAAATATTTTATATTGAAACAAACCAAACTTAAATACTTTTCACATTTATTTTTAAAAAATGGACAACAGGTATATTGTCCACATTTCAAAAACAAAATATGTTAAAATCATCTTTTTACAATTATTAAATTAATTATATATACGCATGGACCCAATGCATCCTTAGGTCATGTGATAATACTGAGACACATAAATCTTGAGGTATAATTTAATAAATAAAAATGTATTAAGACTGGTGGTAAAAAAGACATGTGCTTAATAAGTGTCGCATATTGAGATTCTGCTTTAGGCTTTATTAGGGGTTGGGCTGACCTTGTAAAACCCGATAAGATGAACAATTTAAATCACTACCATACAGTCTATTTGATTGGAAATTATTTTCTATTTATATAAGGTAAAAAATATTTTTCAAACTAAGGTTTTACTAAAGGGAAATTAACATTAAATGGTAATTTAAAAAACATATTACAAATTTATGAAAAAAATTATAATTTTAATTATTAATATTTTTAAAGTTTATCACTTAATTGTAATTATAGTTTACAACTTTCACTTATATGAAATTTCCCATTTTACTAACACTACCATCGCCACCATTACCTCCACCAGTACATTGTCACAGCCATCGCCACCACCATTGCTACCGCCGCTTTCGCCACCCCATGACCACACCACCCTTACTACCTTCGCTTTCACATTCATCCTTATCATTAATACAATCATTCGAGTATATATAAAAATATTTTTTTTTTAATAAATATTTTTCACCAAAACAAAGAGAGCGTTAGTATTTTACAACTCCTATATGAAGTAATCTCACATTTTTGTTTGGTCTAATTTTTTTTCCAAGTTAAAAGTTAATAATCAAAAATAAAAAACTGAAAGTATTATTTCCCAATTTCTAAATAAGTAAAAAATTCAACTTTTTAAATTAATTTTACATGCTATAAGTGGAAATTAAACAAAACACTCTTACAGTAGATTATAGTGAGGAGAGGTGGCTATGGGTGGCATTTGAATGTGAAGGAGGGATGGATATAGTAAAAACACTCTCTGAAAACAAGTTTCATTTTTAATTTTTTTTGAATTATTTCTTTGAAAAAGAAAAAGAAAAAAAAAAACGCAATATGTCATACTATAAATTTTATTTTTCATTTTTTTTTTGAATAAAATAAAAACAGAAACAGAAATCTTCAACACTCTCCCATCCGAGTTGAGTGGTACTTCTCTCTTGCAACGGTAGCCAAAGAACTTCCCCGACGACAATCGTAGGTTAGTTTTTCTATCTTTATTTTTTATTTTTTGTAATCCTGCATTAATGGGTAACTGATTCAGTAAACATTGCTGGTTTATGGGAATTATAATTGCAATGGGTGTTGGATACGAGATACATACATATATATATATATATAAAAAAGAACAATAATGGCCTGTTTGGGTGTCTTCTTATATCTGTTGCTTTAGGTAATTGTTTTCTTCTTGGTTGGAATGGCTCGATTTTTTCACACGCAAACAAACCCTCTTTCTCTCTCTTAAGCGCAAGAATACTGGATATGTACATCCTGAATATGTGAAAATATGAATTCATAGATATGTTAGGGCATCTCAAGCCCTTAATCAATACCCATATCAAATTCAAATTTGAGTAAAAAAACTCCCAAAACCCTCTTCACTCCTTTACTTGAAAAGCTCATATCAAAATGAATTCGCTTCACTTGGATTGAGTGATTTGGAGAGAAAAGAAAAGAAATGGAATGATATGTATTTCTCTTATTTGTTTGGATAACCTAAGTAGAGAGAAATGAGAAGAAATGGAGAGAAACTCATTTCTCTTATAAGTCTCATTTTCAATCTTCCCAAAAGTGGAGAGATTGGGAGAGAAAAGAAACCACTATTTTCATAATACCTATTTTGTCCCTATAAAAATAAAAGAAATAAAATGATTAAAAATATAAAAATGTTATTTTGGTAATATAACATAAAATAATTTCTTTTCTTTTCTCTTAATGAAACCTAACCAAACAAGAATGAGAGAAATCACAATCATTTCTTTTCTTTTATTTTTTCCTTATCCAAACAAAAAGGAGAGAAATCACAATCATTTCTTTTCTTTTCTTTTCTCTTATTACTTAAGTAATCATTTCTTTTATTTTCTCTCTAGGTTCCCAAACATAGTGTTACTCAAATTTTTATCAATTTTACTCAAAGCAAGGGACTCCTATATTCTTTGCTCAAATTTCTATCCAATCTAAACTTTACAATTGGCCACTTTCACCTAAACTTTCCACTAATCTCTTCTACTTCAATCCATAACTTCTACTCAAACTTGACACTTTGGCAATTTTGCTCAAATTTGAGTTTATTCATTGGAATGATTCAAGTCTAATGAAGCCGTTTACTCAAGCTTCTACTCAATTTGAGAAAAAGCTTTAAGGGTCGGAGATGGTCTTAGGCCAAAGGGATGTCACATTGAGGGACAAAGCGGGGTAGGCCTCTGGCCCATACTTGGCCATTGCCATCCCTATTTTCGGATTCAACTTCCGGCAGCGGAAAATATTGTGTTATGATAGTGTGAATGAGATCAAGGACGAACAAAAGCCAGTGTGAAGTGAAGTTTCGACACAACTTATGTCGGCCTAAGCTTAGACACAACATATTTTAGCTAGGCTCGTATATTATTTTCATTCGTTGAGGTTTGTAAAGTTTGAATGTAAGTCTTCAAATGCTTTTTTGGATTCCTAAAAATTTCAGAAAGTTAGAATTCTAATAAATATTCATTTTGAGATTTGAAAAACTTGTGCCATTCAAAATTAAGATGATTAGAAACACAATATTTAAAGTAGTGTTTAGTAAGATGTGGCTAATTTTTTTGTTTTCTACGTACAGAGAACATAAAATACATTTTTTTTTTAATTTTTTTTTTGTAGTTGTAAAAACTAAAATAAAATAAATAGCATATTTGGTACATTAATTCTCAAAACATATAAAAACTAAAACAAAGAAAAAAAGTTTGGTAAGTTATCAAAAGTAGGGTGATAAACGAGCCAAACAATAATTTCCTTGTTCAAAAAAAAAAAGAAAAAAAGAGTGGAACAGTATACTTCTCAAGCTTGGTTTAATAACTTTATGAGTTTTAAAATTTGTTCAAACTCGGTTCCTTTAATTTTTGAGTCGATCTCAAACGAGCTTTTGTCGAACCGAACTCGAATAGTTTTGTATTTTTATATAGTTTTAGGTTTATTGAACTAAGCCGAATGAGTAACTGCCTATTCAAGCTTGGTTTGAAAACTTTAAAGAGCTCCAAAATGTGTTCAAAGCTTGTTTGCTTAACGAACTGAGCTCAAACGAGGTTTTAACAAGCCAACACAAGTCGAGCTCGGACTATTTGGTTCATTTATCACCCCTAACCAAAAGGGGGAGTGGTCGAAGATGGTCGCTGAAACAAAGAGGGTGGCCAGAGGATTGAGGGAAGCAAGAGGGAATGAAACTTAAGTAAAAACACAATTTTTTTTGTTTCCCGAATTCTGAAATTATAGCCATTTTTTTTAGAGTGAAAACAATTACCCAACATTTTTTTATTCCAATTTTCAAATTTTTTTAAATCTAAAACAAAAATAGTAATAATTGTAAAAATAAAAACCTCACCAAACGAGCCCTAAAATTTACAATCCCAATTAAAAAATTTGTAAAGTTACCAACTTAGAGTTAGGAGGTCAAATAACAGGGCTCCCGATCTACTAAGAAAACAAAACTGTAATAGAGAAAAGAAAAAATAAATAAAGAAAAATTTGATCCCAATATGAATACAACAAATCGAGTACCAAGAGCACATGAAATAAATACATAACAAGCATTCTAAATGTGGTGGTGATCCAATATGGTTAGAGCTCTCTCCTCTCTCACTAATTTTCTTCCACATAGCCACGTTTTGTATTCATAATCCCAACCTTGGTATGTGTGCAATTTTCCAGTAATTACCATCTTCTAAGCCTCTGTTCGGGCTCGAACTCAATCCTTTAGACATATCAACCAAATAAAGAGACTTAAGGTTGTTTTGTCATCAAAGACCACTTGGGAAATGTATTGGTACTGGCAGCTCTTGAGATTAACTGACAATCTCTTGTACCAAATCTAGACCAGATAGTTTGATCCTAACCAGCAAGCCATTGAATTTAGACGTTGGTCTGGATAGAGTGATATACAATAACTAATATCTCATTAAATTCTGGTGTAATACTTAAAATAGATGAAATGTTTACTGTTTTTATTTGTTTAAATTTTTTATTTGGCATTGGACTTCTATGTATGGCCTTGACCTTCCTGAAATTCTTGTAGAAGCTGAAAGGGGTGGGTCATCTTTTGATGAATTGTTTAAAATTCCCGAGCAGGATGATCGGATACAGTGATGGGAAGTCCACATCACGTGTTGTTTTGATTCTGGAAATGTACAAGGAAGCAGGGTTGTTTGATCCAATTGCAAACTCCATTCAAGTTACAGAGTTTACGGTGAGTTTGTTGTGAATATTCAATTTCATTAATTTAAACAACGAAGTCTCAAATTTGCATCCAATTAATGTTTCACGATCAATACAATGGTTTTTTTTCTTTTTTTTTAATATTATTTATTGAATTGGCTTATATTAAATCCAGTATTTAGATGGTTTAAACTATGTTATTGTATTTGCACAAGGCTGGAAGATCTCACGACTGCACCCTCACATTTCACCTAAGTCTGCATTGAATGATTATTGACAAATTTTTCGTCAGTAAACTATTATTGTCTGCATGTGCACTGCTTTGTACTTATTTACGTACAAAAAATAAAAGAATGTTAGTTTATTTTAGGGTAAATTACACAAATGGTCCCTAAAGTATACCCTTGATTTCATTTTGGCCACTAATCTTTAATTTGATTCAATTGCATCCCTAAACTTCACATATTAATCCAGTGTAGTCCCTTTCTTAATTGTTGTCTGGAAAACATACTAAAAATGTTTATGTCAGTCTCATGTCAAGCATATGAAGGGCATAAAACGACATTTTGACACATCTATTTATGCCAAATACCATCATTCAAAGTGCCATACATCCTACGTATTCGACTTTCAGTAATGAAATGAAAGTCTTGGATGCATTTTATTTTGTAAATAATGTTCATTTCACGTGTCTCATGATTCATTTAAGTGGAAAATGAGAAATTCCTTGTAATGCTCTCCAAATGCCTTAAGCGAAGCTGGCATAAGCATTTTTCATAATTTTTTTAGACGATAGTTAGGATAGGGGACTACATTAAATCAATGGGTAAAGTTTAGGAATGTAATTAAAACAAATCAAAAACTATAGACCAAAATGAAATCAATGGTATACTTTAGGAACTATTTATGTAATTTACCCTTTATTTTTATGATCATGAAAATAAACTTGAACTGTATGGATAAATATGGATGTTCAACTGAAATTGATTGTTGTGTGGATGTAAGACCCAGGTCAGGTATTTTACATATTATTTTGCTTTGTTAATTTGTCTTGTCCAAACAGCAGATGAAAGATGCTTACACTCCCAAGTTCTTTGAAACAATTCAAGCCGCCTGCCAAAGTGGTGCAATGGTGCGGACATCGTGAAGCTCCCTTACTACCAAATTCGAGGGAAGTATCGAATGGAACTACCCGGATACAATACGATGGATCCATACCCGCATATGAATGAAAGATGCCCATCTCTTCCCCCAAAATACTCTAGGCCTAAGGGTTGCTAAAAAGTCTTCTGATTTGTTTATCCTGTTTCGGAGTTTTTTATACAACAGCTTTTTATAATACTAGGTGGTTGTATGATTTATTTTTCTGTATACAATTTTTCTGATGCAAAGAGTTGAAAGATTCCAAAAGATTAGTTGATGGAATTGCTATTCTTTTTCAAAGATCAATAAATTTTGGAAAGCATCCTACAAAAACTGTCACGTCAGATCTAATCTATATAGCTGTTTGATGAGCCGTAGGATTGATTTCCGTGGTTCCGTAAACCGGTTCCAAGGTTGATATTGAGGTGCTTCTCCTTCCACTGGTCATTCTATTGCATGGTGTTGCTTATTCTATTGGATATAATGTATCAATCACATAACGTCGACAAAGTACAAAATCAACTAAAGAGCTCTAAACATAGGAAGCTTGCCTTCACGCCTACACCCTTATCCAAATCATCATTCGTCTGACTTTAACTACTACATATATTGAGTTTGAACTTTGAATCATACATTCATGAATCAAAAAATTTAACTAATTGCAAATATTATTCTCATTCGTTGGAGGTTTATAAAGTTTGAAAATAAGTCTCCAAATGCTTTTTGCAGCCCCAAAAAATTCAAGTAGTGATAATCATAAGAATATTTATTTTGGGATTTGAAAAACTTGTGTCAATTTAAATTAAAATGATTAGAAACCCAATATTTGAAGTAGTGTTTACGAACTTGTAGTTTTTTTTTCCCCCCCTATGTACAAAGAACATAAAATGTGTTTATTTTTTATTCTTTTTTATTTTTTTTTTTATTTTTTTTTTTTTTGTAAAAACTACAATAAATAGCATAATTAGTATACATGTTCTCAAGAACATAAAAAATCAAAGAGTCGTGCTACTTCAATCAAAAAGTTAGACTTATTTTTCAAGCCTAATGATGCAGCACTCTATTAACATATTAATAAATTATAAATACATCTTTTGATATTTACTTAAAATATATATTGCCCTCTATGATTCTAAAACTTACATCTCGCCTCTTTAAGTTTCTAATTACATAACAAATAACTCATTTTATTATTAAATCATCAAATTAATTAATTATTTTTAATGATGTCATAAATATATTCCAATTAACAATTTAAATAATTATATTGTTATATAGGAGAATAATTAAAATTTTCATCTTTTTGTTAATTATGTTAAATAAAAAATGTTGACAATGAAATATTTGTGATTTTCAAAATTATAAGGGACAATCTATATTTTAAGTAAATATTAGCAGGTGTATTTGTAATTACTTTAGAATATTTAAGTCAACTCTCTTTCTAATATTTTCTCTAATCATCAACCATTCATTTCTTTTACATTATACATCAGTGGGTTTAGAAAGTGAGCTTATAAAATAGATTTGTATATCATTTTTCAAAATGAAAACAAGTATAGTGAGTTACAAAAAGGGGGGAGTGGTCGAAGGTGATTGCCAGAGCGAAAACAAAAGGGTGAGGGAGGTAAGAAAGAATGAAACTTGTTTTGAAAATAAGTAAAATCACAATTTTCTTATTTTTAGAAATTCTAAGAACAATAGCCAAATTTTTTTGAAGTGAAAACAATTAGCAAACATGTTTTTTATTTTGATTTCAAAAAATCTAAAGCTAAAGAAAAATAAATAAAATAAAAATCTCACCATTTCAGAATTTGTGAAGTTAGCAAATGTGTTTTTTAAAAGTGAAAACAATTAACAAATGTGTTTTTTATTTCAATTTCAAAAAACCTAAAGCTAAAGAAAATTCAAAAAAAAAAAAAAAAAAAAAACTTACCAAACGAACCCGAAGATTGACAATCCTAATTAAAAAATTTGTGAAGTTGCCAACTCTCTAGGATCAAAATTAGGAGGTCAAATAATAGGTTCCCAAACTACTAAAAAAACAAAAATGTAATAGAGGAAAGAAAAAAAAATAGAGAAAAACTTGATCCCAATATTAATACAACAAATCAAGTACCAAGAGCACATGAAAATAAATAAATACATAATAAACATTCTAACTATAGATAATTTCCTGTCCAATAGCCAAGTTTTGTGTCCCCAATCCAAACTTTTGAAATGTGTGCAATTTTCCAATTATTCCCACACTCCAAGTCTCTGTTCAGACTCGAAATCAATCCATCAGACATATCAACCAATTCAAATGATTTAAGGCTGGTTAGATGTTCAATGCCAGAGGGTAACTCCTCTACGAATTCGTATTGCCGGATAACTAACTCTTCAAGATGAGGTATCGAGCCAGCCTCCATTTTCACCCATCTCAATCCTTTTAATCCACGAAGGTATAATCTCACAAGTTTTTGAAATCCACCAGCCTTGAAACACAATTCTTCTCCTTCATGTGCCTGAAGAAAAAGAAGAACAACCAAATTGGGCAAACCTTGAAGGGATTCCAGCGGATCAACATCCCTGAACTTACTCCATCGTAAAAATACTTTTAACAAGTTGTGCAGTGAAGGTATCCAATGTGGTACCTTAAGTAAACTTCCTTCTAGGCAGAGCGATCGAAGAAGTTGAGATGGCGAGGAAAGAGAATCTAGATCAATGATCTCGTCTTCTTCTGTTGCACGAACAATCAATGAGCGAAGGTTACTAAGCTTCTCAAGGGACGAGCATAACACCCTCCCATCTTCATTTCTTAGGTTTTGAATATGTAATTTCCTCAGTTGAGTCAACTTCCCTACCTCTCCTAGCAAAATGGTCCCATTATCATGGTTTGTTTCAATAGAACAAAGTTTCTGTAAGGATGACAACCTTCCTATTTCTGTCGGGGTTTTGAATCCACATTGGTATTTAAAACGAATTGGAGGAACATAATCTTGTATGTGGTGATACAACAAGATATGGAGAAGTCGTTTGAGCTTCAGGATATCATCCAGCAACTCAGTGACATATGTTTGTTTAAGGTCCAATGTTTCCAGGTTTCGAAGATTTCCAATCGACTTGGGTATTATTTTTACATTGGTTTCCCTCAAACTTAAATACATGAGTTGATGTAGTTTCAAAACTTCATTTGGGAATGTCTCCAACAAGGCACCTCTCAAGTCAAGCACGGTTAGCAGCCGTAGACCATCATTTGACGTTGCAAGCACAGACAACTTGGACAGTGAATCTGTTGCATTGAACATAAGAAAAGAACGAAGTCGAGTGAAACATTTGCTTTGTTGTGTATTCCCAATGATTGTTGATTGATAAGCACCGCACCCTTTCAGGCCACGCTCTGTTTTCTTCACTGGCTAGTGTCACAATGTTTTGCTCTCCCAACTTCGAAACAATAATTTCACGCCAAAGGTCATGGATGCGATACTTTCTAACCCTTCTATCTTCTCTCATCTCTGCCACTTGAACCAAGCTTCTATTGATTAGCTCATTGAGGTAGCCCTCGGCAACTTCTTCTTTCATCATTCCTGCTTTCATTTCTACAAATCCTTCTGCCACCCATAATCGATTCATTCTCCAATGGTCGATGAAACAATCCTTTGGAAAAGCACTTAGATAGAGAAAGCAGAACTTCAGATAATAAGGTAAATCAATGTAACTGGGGGACAATATTTTGTTCATGCTTAGGAGTTTGTCATTTCCTTATAGTTCTGCACCAAGGCTACGGTAGATATTATCCCACTCATCCACACTGCTCTTATCCTTTGTTGATAAAAGACCACTAATTGCCACAATTGCAAGCGGCAATCCCTCGCATCTATTCAAGATGGCTTTTGAAAGTCCTTCCAAATGTGAAGGGCAAGAATTCTCCATAAATGTTTTCCTGCAAAACAATGTCCAGGACTCTTCGAGAGTCAAGGGCTGAAGATTATAGACATTCCCATGATATTCTTTACTAGCCGAAGAGGCTCAATCTGCATTTCTGGTTGTCATCATTACTCGACTCCCACAATTGCCAATGGGAAACACATGTCTAAAGGATTGCCAGGCATGAATATCCCATACATCATCGAAAACAAGCACATACCTATTTTGTTGTAGGAAAGCATTAATTATCGCTTTCAAGCTGTTGGTATCCATGTTGTCCATCCCTCGTGGAACTGGTTGCTCGAGTTCTTCAAAAAGTTTTTTGATGATGTCTTTTAGGAGCACCTCAATCTTGAAGGATTCGGAAACAGTGATCCAAACATGGCTCTGGAAATGATTCTTCACAACTACATCATCAAAGGCCTTTTTAACCAGTGTTGTTTTGCCCAATCGGCCCATTCCTGATACGGAAAGCACCTTGAGTCTGGGGTCTTCATGCACCAACCACCTAATTAGTTGCGATTTGGGCTTGTCGATGCCCGCAAGCTCAAATTCATGGAGTAGAAGGGCATCGCCACGATAATCATGGCATGCTGTGTTAAGACCAATGGACCTTGAGCTTGAGCCTTGCTCTAACGTACCATATCTATCATGGTACCTCTGATGTCCCTTCGAAATATCGATGACTCTGGACTTCATTCTTTGAACTTCAGAAGCAATTTGGTGACAAGCTTTTAGAGTCTTAATAAAGCAAGAAACCTTACGAAGAAAACCACGAAATCCAGCGCCAGGACGATGTCCAAGGCAAAGCATGTACAACTCGAGAACATCTCCAATATCGTACGCAGCTTCTCAGACATGCTTGACCCATACTTTGAGTTCGGGGTTGTTCTCTTCCATAGCATCGGCAACTCTGAGGAAAGCTGTCATGCGCTCGAATTCATCTCTAATGTATTGGATCTCATATCAAACTCCGGTCAACAAATTGGCCTCTTGTCAGAGGAAGGGTGCGAAGTTGGCTAGTAGATGTGTAATAACCCTCACCACTGCTTACCGATAAACACTGATTACCGTTAAACTGAACTGATCATGACTGATAATTGAACTGATTAAAAGTACTGAACTGACTGACTGAAATTGAAACTGAATTAAATGAATACATCTGTTTGAATTGCATTTTATCTGTTGACTGTTTGTTTGATCTGTTCGTGTCTTATGTTTAAACTGCAAATTGAAGGCCTTATCGGCGGCCGAATCCAGAATTGATTGATGTTTTACGATCCTCATAATTAATGTGAATTTATGGTATAATTATCTGAAAACTGATTAGGTACGATTAAATTAGATTAATTATTGATTAATTACATAAGTTTGACTTAATTACCAAACTAGCCTTAGTGGCCACTCAATATATAACATCTTGGAGCCTCATTGCACTCACACGTACACATTGCATCAGCTCATCCCTTAGGCTCAACCGACCAAGTAGAGAGAGAGAGAGAGAATTGAATTGATCTTGGATTCATCTTGGAGAATTGCTTGGTAATTGAAGTGTAGATTGCTAAATTGAACCTCTAGACTTGTATTCAAGGAACTTAGGTATGAATCTCATCTTCTCATTCTTGTGTTTGAACTAATTCTTGCATGGTTCATGCCTAATTGTAGAGCTAAGTCATGGTTTAGTTCATACATGTTGATATAGAGCTCATTTCATGCATGCATGTTAGTATTGTTGGATTTTGAGTTGAATTCATGGCAAATTGTCACATGCATGTCCATAATTTAGTAATGGTCCATGTTTTCATCTTGTTTGTAAATCAATTGGCTCACTAGAGCATGTTTTGAAGTTTGAAAGTTGTTTAAAGATCATGCATGTCATGTTTGAAGATTGTTCTTGAAAATGATTTGAAATTGAGTTTGAATTAAACACCCTTGGGCTTTGATTTCTCAAAATTGAGCTTTGAATCATGTTACACTATGTGTTTATAAATGTTTTCCAGAAAATGGGCCCAAGAGGATTGGTTTTGATGCATTTGAATGTGAGTTTGAGCTTGGAGGTGCAATATGGAAATCCCAGATTCTGCACTTACGCTCGAGCGGGGAAAGTTACGCTCGAGCGTGGAATCCGAGCACCCAGCATCTCTCTGCACTGTTTTGCAGTCCGCTCGAGCGGAGGATTGGGCGCTCGAGCGGAGTTATGTCTCAAGCTCGAGCGGGCGTCGAGCGGAGATTTCACCCATCCAGTACTTTTACAGTACGCTCGAGTGGGAAAGTTTACGCTCGAGCGTGTACCTTTGTTGCATGACCGCTCGAGCGGGGAAACCTGCGCTCGAGCGGAACTCGATTTTTCTGAAAATGCTTTTAAATGTGCATCTTTGCATCCTCATCCCATTCTAGGCATTCTTAGGCCTAGTTTAAGGCATCTTGTTGAAGATATAGATGTAGAACACACCGAGGCATTAGGGATTAAGTTATTACCGTTCCCAATTGTGTGGCTTAGTGTGTTCAATCTGTTAACTGTGTAGGGTTGGCGACTGGAGAGACACGCTCTAGCATACTGTAGCCCGAACTCTGTGAGTAACGATTGTGTAAAGATATGTTCACAAATGATTATCTTCTGAACAACTGAACTGTACTGTTTTCTAAACTGATTACTGTCAACTGAATGAATGTATGTCCTATATTCTGAACTGTATTGTGGCATCCTTAGCACCTACTGTTTACTGTTACTGCGACAGAATTCTCTGTCGGTTCCCTTGTTGGAACCACTACTGTTTACTGACTGATGGCCATCATTACTGTTCGGTCTTTTAAGACCTACTGTTTACTGTACTGTTATGCTAATGGGTGTACCACATATGACTGTACTGACTGATTGACTGAATACTGCTTAAATGAACTGTTTTCATACTGTAAGGACATTCATTCTTAACCCCTTTACGCTTTATGTTATTCACTGGGCTTTAGCTCACTGCTCATATATATATGTAGGTGTACAGGCACCAGACCGCAGCTAGGAGCGTCAGGGTTACTCCAGTTTTGTCAAGCCAGCCTTTGTGCCTCACTGCGAGGTTCCGTGTTGCCATGCTATGGCTTTGGGGTGTTTTGTTTCCCCCCCCCCGTCTGTCTCCATTGTATAGACTGTACTGTTCTGTATAAACTGAATGTTTATTGTACTACTACCTAGGGTTGAGTCCCTAGTCTGAATGAATGTAAATATTGTACATACTGTTCTGTACTGTTTCCGCATAATGGATGAAAAGTCTTTTTGGCATATAGACTGTCACAGCTCATTCGGCATTGTTTATTTACTGTTTTGGCTTCCGCCAGGCCCTGTACTCTGTTTTACTGTATTACTGTTCTGTAGGCCTTTGGTAATCTCGGATTACTGGCCGGTTACGGTGCTAAACCCATAGGGCCGGGTTTGGGTCGTGACAAGATGGAACACTGCAGTCTCGGCCATTTTGCAATGTTGATGAGAAATTAATAATTGTGATGGTGGTCACAACTCTAAACTGAAGATGAGAAATGTTGTATATGATTCATAATCTCCTTTTTCTTCCACAAGCACGTGTTTGGTGACTCCTTTACATGGACCACCCTTCTTGCTTAAGAAAAAGAAATGAAGATAAAAGGATAGAGAATTGGGGGGGGGGGGGACGTCCCCCACTTGTGTGGAAGCAGCTATCAATCTCTCCCTATCTAAAATAAATGAAAATCCCGAATTTGGTCACTATTTTTTCTGTTTTAATTATATATTAGCAATTTCTTCTATTTAATTTTCAAAATTTTTAATTGTAATTCGTGTAGTTCAGTTGGAAACAATTGTGCAGTAAAATTTGATTTGATAAACAAACAGATTATTTTAAAATTTGAACAATTTAAATTGTATAACACAGTCATTTTTCTTTCTAAAGATAAACTCTGTGATGATGTGGTACAATTAGGTGCATAGAAAATTGGGATTTCAAAAAAAAGACTATGAATCATTTTTCATCCAAAACTTTAATCACTATTTTTAATTTTCTTTAATTGGCACAAATTGTAAAATTTAAGATTAAATATATTACGATTGAAATGACATGAACTAAATTCACATAATCCATAAATAATCTGAAATTAATCTAAACTACTGACACCTGTTAATATGCAAACTAGTTTAATACTAAAAAAAAGTTATTAGTTTTTGCCTTTTTTGGGAGGGAAAAGAAACGAAACAAAAAAAAAAAAAAAACAATGATGTGCGTACCTTGTTTTGGTTGAGAAAAAACAAAAGAACAAAACAAAACGTTTGGTAAAAAAATGAAAATTGAAAGTTGCTCATCATTTAACGGTTCTCTTTTTTAAGATAAAAAATATTTTTTTGATATTGATTTTTGTCAAATTAATTTTTATTTTAAAAAAAACAGTAAATATATTTTGAAAAGTCGATACCCCAAAATATTTTGTCTTAATTTTTGTCAAATTAATTTTTATTTTTACGAACACATTTGTGTATTTAGGTCACTCTAAATAAAATAAAATAAAAAAAATTTGATCAAAACCACCAAATAATTGCTCAAACTCAAAGTATTTAGCTCCATGTTTTGGTACCGAAAGTCTGATGTGTTCCATTCCATATGTTTTAGGCCCACACATTTTAGCGGACAAAAAAGGATTTGACTAACTATGCGTAGACAATGACAATGAATTTGTCTTTATTTTTACGAACACATTTGTGTATTTAGGCCACTCTAAATAATTTTTTTTTTTTTACCGAAACCACTAAATAATTGCTCAAACTCAAAGTATTTAGCTCCATGTTTTGGTACCAAAAGTCCAATGTGTTCCATTCCATACGTTTAGCCCCACACGTTTTAGCGGACAAAAAAGGATTTGACTAACTATGCGTGGACAATGACAATGAATTTGTCTTTATTTTTACGAACACATTTGTGTATTTAGGCCACTCTAAATAAATGTTTTTTTGACCGAAACCGCTAAATAATTGCTCAAACTCGAAGTATTTAACTCCATGTTCTGGTACCGAAAGTCCCATGTGTTCCATTCCATACGTTTTAGCCCCACACGTTTTAGCGGACAAAAAAGGATTTGACTAACTATGCATAGACAATGACAACGAATTTGTCTTTGTTTTTACGAACACATTTGTGTACTTAGGCCACTCTAAATAAATGTTTTTTTGACCAAAACCACTAAATAATTGCTCAAACTCGAAGTATTTAGCTCCATGTTTTGGTACCGAAAGTCCAATGTGTTCCATTCCATACGTTTTAGCCCCACACGTTTTAGCGGACAGAAAAGGATTTGACTAACTATGCATAGACAATGACAACGAATTTGTCTTTGTTTTTACGAACACATTTGTGTACTTAGGCCACTCTAAATAAATGTTTTTTTGACCAAAACCACTAAATAATTGCTCAAACTCAAAGTATTTAGCTCCATGTTTTGGTACCGAAAGTCTGATGTGTTCCATTCCATATGTTTTAGGCCCACACATTTTAGCGGACAAAAAAGGATTTGACTAACTATGCGTAGACAATGACAACGAATTTGTCTTTATTTTTACGAACACATTTGTGTATTTAGGCCACTCTAAATAAAAAAAAATTGACCGAAACCACTAAATAATTGCTCAAACTCGAAGTATTTAGCTCCATGTTTTGGTACCGAAAGTCTGATGTGTTCCATTCCATATGTTTTAGGCCCACACATTTTAGCGGACAAAAAAGGATTTGACTAACTATGCGTAGACAATGACAACAAATTTGTCTTTATTTTTACGAACACATTTGTGTATTTAGGCCACT